AAGCAGCTTCATACAAACGAGAAACCAAGTCTGTGAAATGTCGCGGTGTCTATCTCAACAGAAGAAAATGGATCGTACGTAATTCGACGAAATAATATAAAACAAAAAACATTGTGCGTCTATTATTTCCTCATAAAACGAAAGAAACTTTTCCGACAATACGTTGTCATCTATATATTAGTCAATATATACTTTACGTATGGTAAATTTTAAAGCAAGAAATACATGGTTGTTCATAGCACCTTTCACCTCTCGATAATGAAACGATTAACATAGAAATCACTCAACTATAGAGGACAGTCTTCTTCAACTACGCTCATCTCGAATGTCTTAATTGTCTGCATATCTTACAAATATCTTTCTGCCGTCCTAATGCTTCCACAAGCCTCACTTTTATTCGTTGAAGCTAGACAAAATTCACGAAGTAAATACTCCACTTTCTCTATACTCACAACCACCTCACCTATTCACTAGAAATCGAAACGATCCTCGCTTAACCGTTCGAGTTTGGTAACACATCAGAGAATCATGGTACGAACTGGCGATGGTGAATGATGGGGCAACAGCGATGGAGAACGTTTGGTAAATATAAGAGAGAGAGAGAGAGAGAGAGAGAGAGAGAGAATGAAGCATAGGTGAAACGAGATGGTGAACGCATGATCGAGGGAGCAGAGAACGGTGTCTTTGTGCCGGTGGTGGGCGGCCAGGCGCATATGTCGGCGGAGTTCGAAATCGGGATATTGAATTCACGCCATTTCTGTTTTGACGTATCGCGGCTTGTGATACGATCCGTCGGGGTTTATCAGCGGCCGGGCACGAGGAAGTGATTTTTTCATTCTAACAAATAGCCTTTTGCGGTTTATCGGATTTCAGCCGGGATATCCGCCGGCGCGAAATCAAGCGCGCACGTTTCGCGCCAATCGAAAAGCAAAGCGAAATCATTGAAAGATACAGTGGTTTACGATTGCGTTTACAACCGGCAGACTCGAAGGCCTGTTTTTCCCATCCATTCTCAGCTTTTCATTCGAGCTTCTTGTTTTTGAGGATAGACACAGCCGAAGGAGAACGGCGAGCAACGACTCACCAGTGTTCGAATTTTCTTCTCTTTCGCCACGGTTCATTCCTCCGCACTTCGAAACCGTAGATCTGTCCGTTAGATTTCGGTGGAAACTCGAATGTAGATTTTTCGGTTGAACTAGAGTAGATCGATTTACTCCCATTTCAAGCCCATTTCTATTTACGATTCACAGAAATAAAGCTACTCCTGTGTCAGTTTCATTCTTCAGATCCCTTTTGCCGTTCTCGATTTTTAATCGACGAAGTAATCTTTGCGACCGACATTTACTTCATTACTTTGAACCTTCGATCAAGTTACAATTCTAATTAATACAAAAATTTACAACGTCTGTTTAACGATGAATAATACAACAAGACATCTTCTTTGATAATTAAATAAAATTGGACGAACGAAAGATGCAGATTTTCACTGACTTTTTGATTCGTTCTCCGTCAAATTCGATCATTCTCTCTCGAACCTATAGGTATAAAAAATAAAAATTACGGAACGCGAGCTCAACTTGAAACATCATGATCCAGCTGAATTCTGTTCTATTGACCAAAAAGAGGAGAATATATGTAAAGTGTCAAAAGCCGTGACACATATTTTCTGGATGCTTCTGCTACGAAATCCATCCTCTGTCTCCTGTCCGATACATTCGGAATTACGTTTTATAAAACTCGAGTGAAATACGTTTTCGCCGTATCCAGGGCTCCCGCGAACAATGACGCGCGTAAGATATTCTGTTTGTTTTTTGTTTTTTTTTTTTCGTCTACCCGTTGTTTTATTATATACGTGTATTTGTATTTTTTTATACGAGTATACTCTGAGAAAAAGCGAGCGCCCAGGATAGAAGAGGACCAGAGCGCTCGATCGTGAAACGTCGGATGAAGGCTGATTTATACTGCGCGCGGGAAGTCAACAAAGCGGAACGGATCGTGACTGCCGCGTCACGATATATTGTAATATATTTAAATATAATATTTCCGCAACGGATAGAAGGAATAATTGTATTTGCGCACATTACACCGTATTACCAGTCATCCCTCGTTGACGTTTCCACGCGTGATCTACTGTTTTTCACGTATCCGTGATTCAACGTTGTTGAAAGCGACACTGGCGAGTGGAAAAAATGGAATTTATCTGTTTTGTCGTTCGTTCGTTTCCAGTTTCGAAATTTGCGTTTCTTTCACGCCATGTTTGCGATCTTTTCATAGGTTTAATTGTTAAATATTGTTAATATTATTGTTTAGGCATTTGAAAAGTGATCGTAAAACTATTTATGCAACTTCGAGGAAAATGATAAGGAGACCGAGAGTGAAATTTCATTTTAACAATGCGACCTATAGCCCTTTTGTCCAACGATTTACTAATTGATGGCGTTAATAAATTGATCATTGCCTCTCGATATTTCGAGGGTCGTACGAGCCAACACGCTTGAAAAATTCGCTTTTATTAGCACGAATTTGATAAGGACCCACAACTTCCAACCGATTGAGAGAAGCTGCAAGGTCTATTGGAATTCATAGGGTATCGCGCGAACTTTCGAATTTCCCCTGCAATTTCCCTTGCGCGACTAGGAGCGAGCGGCGCGCGTAACGGAAGTACGGGACGCGACACGGCGGAAATCGCGATGAAAATTGGTTGAACGCTGCCCCGATCGAGTAGTGAACGTCGTGTTCAAGCCTGAAAAATTTTGGCGGGATTCTGACGGCTCGTTGGACACGCGAATGAGGACTCGCGAAAAAAGCGAATTTTTATGATCAAAGGATCATCTTAGACGTTTAGATCGTTTTATCTTCTTACACGTATAACAGCAACGTAGTGAATTTGTTAAATTGTCTCAAGAACTTTTCGTTGATTAGAATAGACGTAATTATTTAAACTATTTTTAATTTCTTCGGAACAATGTTCGTTTTAAACCTACTGCCTCGTATTAACAATTCTACGACTCTATCAATTTCTTAATTTCATTACGCAAGAACACGACTACCGTTCCATTCTGAAGAAATAAATGATTATTTAAAAATTTCATTTACCGCAAAGAAATGACATAAGTAATCGCTTAAAAAATAATGTTTGCAACAGCATCGCGTTTCTCTGCTTTTCAATTTACTGAATTGATCAATATGCCTTTGAAACGACTCTTATATAGATAAACCGAATAAACGACAGTAATATTAATGTACCTTTGAACACTGAAACCGGTAAGTCTTGATATACAATTCATAAGACAAATAGGGGTCCGTGCCATAAATGAAGCTCATAGAAACTAACCCTAAGTTCTATCGACAATCTCCCACTAACGATAATACGGCTTGTTATTGATTGGCAATTTCACGTTTCACGCACGTGTCAATTAACCGAGAGATTTTCTTGGAATAAAGGAAAATATTCATTTCTCTCGATTATACACGGTGTCCAATTATAAGCTGGAAAAATGCATGGAGAATGTGGTCGGAATGCATCGTACGTTCGCGAGTCGCGAGTTTACGACATCGTTGATAATAAGCGAAATTTTCTCCTTGTTGGTCGACTAACTGATTTGCGCCGCAGCACTTCATTAAGAGTGTCGAACAATCTCGATATGGCCAGCCAATTTTCCATGGACAATTTCTGTTCTACGGCACACGGCTGAAATTTACGCCACGTTTCTTCTGCAACGAACATCTGCCACGTGATAGCTTTGTCCTTTTTCCACGCCACCTAAATCATCGCTAACGACTATCACTCGTACTCGATACGATAATTCTAACTTTTTCCGCATCTAAGCTTCGTTCACAGATTAGTCAACTTGTCGGAGTTCAAGCGATTCGAATTTTAACAACATGAAACTATTTCCCTGCAATACAAATTCGTCATTTACTTGTCTTCGAATATTCTATCTTATAATCGTTCTATATATCTTATAAGAAAGATAGAACGGAAGGAGCACTGACCAATCGTTTACCATAACGCCACTCCTAGACATTAGTCGGTTGTACCGGCTGACATTTGTTCAGGCACTGGTTCCTCGTTCGAGCACGCTTTCCTCTTAAGCTGATTGCTTGCCCGTAAACAAGGCGCTTCGATACCGCGTTGCTTCGATTGCGTGCTTCTAAAATGCACGATGGCTCGTACCAGTCGAGAGTGTCGTGATACGGAAGACACTTGTGACCATATTTGACTATGCAAATAGCGGTGCTACTTATGACTTTTCTAATCTACACTTTCTCTGTAATACATATCCTTCTGATTCCTCTTGATCATTGGAAAGAGTTTCTAAATATCAACAAAAATTACTCGCGAATTTACTATGTACTTCGTTATCGCATTCTTGAAACTATCATGTTATTATAAATTTCTTTTTTCGTACTTCAAGCACGAATGTTGCCAGTATGTTGCTAGTACTTGCTGCAGTAAACATAGTAAACCTAGTACAATCGAAAATGGAGGGTCGAATAAAATTTTTTGCTTTCCCAATATTGAGATATGTGTAATTTTGTGTGCTACACTAGGTTAGCCGCGTAGTAGTGACACACATATATGAGTATGAGTGTGTGTAAAACACACAGCGTCTCGTAAAACAAACGAATGCAACTGTTCCGTTGGTAATGTGGTAAAGAAGATGGTGAGACAAAGAGAGCGCTGAGACGCGTGCAAATGTTCATCGACGAATATCTTGTAAATCGCATATTAAATAAATCTGAAACTATTTTAATATCAATTCTAAGTGTAATCTAAGTGTTCTTATATATTTATGTCGGCGATTAAGATCGACAATTCTCAACAGCCAAAAATAAAACTTTGTAGGAAGAAATTTCACTCTTATGTAACCATATGATTCCGTAATCCTTTTACGTGCATGGCAATACAATGAAATTAGCAAACCTGATCTACCGATAACTTAGGATCGATAATTTCTCTAACAAACGTTTCTAAACCATCCATTGTTTCGTTTCAGTTGGAGAGGAAGCGTTACGAAGCAGGAGAGTTAGAGAGCTTCGTCAAAGATCGGTGAGTAACCTTCGTTCTATGGGGTCTAGATCGATAGGAAGAGGCAAAACAATTAGAAAGGAGAGGATGTATTTCCCATGAGAGAAAACAAAGGGTACTGCGGTGGGTAAAGGTAAAAGAGAGACGATACCGTGGCGCTGGCACGCTAATGGAAAGAGCCTCGATACACATTTACCGTCTACGTACTCGCGTGAGTCCGGATCGATCGATATATCGATGGACCCTCTTCGTTCGTGTATCTGCGCTGCATGCTTAAAGGGGTAGTTAATTACGTTTAATACCCTCGATTATGTGTTTGCGCCGAACACACGCTCCACTCGAGCGCGTCATACCTCTCTTGCCGCTGTCGTTTCCGCTGCGTTTTCATCTTCTCTGTTGCACGGTGATAGAGCCAATGGTCGTTTTAATGTTGTATTATAGCTTTTATTCGTACAGTACTTACCATGTTTGGACATTCGAAACGAACAGCTTTTACACATTGTATGTAATATGAAATCTTTTTTTCATTCTCCAACTTACCTTAAATTTCTAATGTTAGGTCGTTTTTGTGTTACCTTTCTTTAGCGATTTTCAATCCCGTCAGCGTTTCCTTTTTCTTACGAATCTACTAAGTAGTTTTAAATTTTGAACAGACCGCCAAACAACGTGCTCCGCGGCATAGAGCCATAAACGGAACATTCAGCGTCTAAAATATGACCAGCAACAATCTCGCTTTTACGACTCGGCTGCAACAGACGTACCTATTCATATTTCAAGCGTTCCTCGCTTCATCTACCACCCTGTAAGACTTTTTCTGTCGAAACATATTAACCGCCGCTTACAAGCCGAGCTTCGTCTCGTCAAAAACCTAAGATTTATCTACGAATTTTCCATTGTTGCAACGATCCGCTTGTGGATCTTTTCAAATGCAATTACATCGTGGCTTGTTTGCGCGCGCGGTAAACTCGAAGACGTTGCTATAAGGGGTGGTATGCCTGGGTTAAAAGGGAAATGAGAATGAATGTAATAATATATTTAATATTCGTCGGGTCCCTGCCTCCTTCACTCTCGGTATTACAAGTCGACCAATATTCTCGCCCCCGTCCTTTCTACTCTCCTCCCCCTATTCCATCCTCCTTCACCCTTATTCTATCTTCTCTTTCTCGAGAGAGAGAGAGAGAGAGATTCTTTTACCTTTCCCCTACTCTGTTCTATCGTTGTTCCTTCGCCCTTGCTGACTTTCAAAGTGCACCGACATTATTTCGGTTGTAAGCAATGCACGATGGGATGATAAGTTTCCAGAGCTGCAAGGAGAGTAGCGGTTTTCTTTATCCAAAGAAAACGTCAACTTGCACCATTAGCCATCTATTTTTGTACGTTTAATCCTTTTACAGACACAGACAGGATACGAAGACATTCCACGTATATTTCCATTAATGCCAGATGTCTGGTCCAGCGCATAATCCATAAATCAAAATCGAAAGATATGAAATACCTCGACCGTGGATTAAGAGATTAACGTACAGTGGCTAGAGAAATTATTGGCACGTATAGGAGCGTTTTCTTGATAACCTGCACACTTTATTTCATAGTACCAAATCTTGGTAAAAGTACGAAAGTACCTCTACATAATAAGCAAATTCAATAAACCTGAACCTATTGAATTAGTACGTATCCAAATGGTATAACAGATACAACGGCATGCCGATAATTTTTGTCATCAAGTATAGTTTAGGTTTATCTTCAACATAAGAGACTAACGTATTAGGTTGTCCGGAAAGTTTCTTTCGTTTTATAAGGAAATAATAGACGCACAATATTTTTTGTTTTACATTAGTTTATTGAATTATGCACGAACGTAACAATAGAAGTATAACGAATCATACCTAATTCAATAAAATAATATAAAACAGAAGTTGTTATTCATCTATTATCACCTTATGAAACGAAAGAAACTTTTCGGACAACCTAATAACATTACACCGTCGAAATTAAATTTTCAAATTTATACACGTTGCAATTTAAATCGCACGCAAATAACATCACGTCATAATTAAATACATCCAGCAAATAGTTTAAACACATCTCCCGATAGCTTCTTTCTCCTATCATATTCTCCAACTATTTATCACGGAGACAATCACATAGCCAGAGAATAACCACACGGAGGCAACCGCACGAGGCGTCTTCGACGCTCAAAAATTCACAATAGAGAAAGGTGAAGGGGTGTGCGGGTGGTGCACACGAGTGCCGCTGCGTTGGCATCACGTGCCACGTGATATTAGTTCATATATATCGCGGGGGTAAACATGCAGCGACGCAGAGACAGGTTGACGGGGTAAGGGGATGGTTGGCGAGGGGAAAGGGAATGGTTTTTGCGAGGGTTGGAAAAGGAAAGGGTATGTGTAAAAGTAGCTGGTCCCGCGAGGCCCTGTGGAGGAAGGGCACGTATTCGATGTAAACTATAAAACGGTACCCCGTTTGTGGCCCTCTACCCCCCGACCTCCGCCCCTTTC